GTGCATGTGTGTTAAGGATTGTAGTATCTTCTTTGTTAACTTTTCCTTTGATCAGAATGAAGTGACCCTCCTTATCTCTTCTGATTAATTTTACTTTGAAGTTTATTTTGTCAGATATTAGAATTGCAACTCTTGCTTGTTTCTTAATGTCATTTTCTTGGAATATTCTTTTCCATCTCTTTACCTTAAGGTTGTGCCTGTCCTTGAAGGTGAGATGGGTTTCTTCCAGACAGCAAGGAGATGGATTTTGTTTCTTAATCCATTCACTTAGCCTGTGTCTTTTGACTGGGGACTTTAGTCCATTGATATTTAAGGTTACTGTTGAAAGATGTGTATTGGTTGCCATCATTTTGATTGCTTTCTTTTTTGTTTCATGTATCCTCAATTATATCTTTATTTCTTTTCTTTCATTGCCCCTGGGGTATAGTTGTTTTCCTCTTTGCTCTCTGTATTGCTTCAAATATTCCTTGAAGGTCTGGTTTTGTGGACATGTATTCTTTCAGACTATTCCTGTCATGGAAGATTTTTCTTTCCCCCTTAACTATAATAGACATTTTTGCTCAGTAAAGTACTCTGGGTTGGCATCTATTGTCATGTAGACCTGGAAATACCTTGGTGTAGGCTCTTCTGGCTTTCACAGTTTGAATTGATAAGTCAGCTTTCATTCTGATGGGCTTTCTTTTGTATGTGACTTGTTTTTCTTTTGCTGCTTTCAGTATTCTCCCTTTGTCCTGTACATTTAGTGTTTTACCATAATTTGTTGCGGGGAGTTTCTTTTCTGATCCTTTCTATTTGGTGTTCAATGTGCTTCCTGTATTTGTATGGGGATATCTTTCCTCAACTTCGGGAAATTCTCTTCCGCAATCCTGTTTAAGATCTGGTCAATATCATTTGACATGAAATTATCTTTTCTCTATTCCCATGATCCATAGATTTGGTCTTTTCATGGTGTCCCACATCTCTTGCATATTCCATTCCTGTGTATTTTAGATTTTTTTCCACACTCTTTGCTTGAGTAGTCCAATTCTTTAACTTTATCCTCCAGCGTTGTATTCTGTTTTCCATTTCATTCATTCCAGTGGTGAGGCTTTCCCCTGTTGTTTCAAATTGGCTTATTGAGTTTTTCACTTCCTTCTTCATTTCTGCCTCAGTTTTCTTCAATGTTTCTATCTCTTTTGTAAATTCAGGCAGAAATTTATCCCCATCTTCTTTTAGTTCTTTGATTTGTTTGTTTATGTGTTCTTTAACTTCATTGATCTCCTTGACCATCTTTGTGATTGTTCTTTTAAATTCAGTGTCCTGGATTATCTCTAGGGGGTTCTCCTTGTAGAACTCTTCTACAGGACTGGTAAAGTTTGGTGGGGACATAGTGTTTTGGCTTTCCATTTATTTATTCTTTTGTTGTGATTTTGGCATGTGAATTTCCTTTGTTGTTTATGATTCTGATATGAGAATTAAGTTGAAGTATGCTTCTGTTTGTATTATTGGGGTGCCTGGATCCTTTCTTTATTGGTTATGTAAAGGTGGTTGGTACAGGGTTCAGGTTCTCTCAGGTTTAATTTGGAGGGAACTGATGGCTTCAGATCAACTATTCAGGAGTACCCACAGAAGCCGAATTCAGATTCCAGTCAGGTACACTCAAGCTTCCTTCACCACATGGAGGCAGGATCCAGGCTCTCTCAGGCAGTCCCCTGTGTACTCAGCCCCTATGACAGAGGGTGGCCAGACGAAGGCCAGAACTCGGAACTCTCCACAGGTCTGCTGAGATCAGAGACACTACATCGATGGAAGTTGAAACCCACCCTCTCAGCCTGTCTGCCTCTCCTGTCATTTCTAACTGTCTTACTTAGTGTTGAATTTCCTTCTTCATTTCAGCCTGAGTTTTCTTCAGTATTTCTACCTCTTTTGTGAAGCCAGTCAGAAGTTTATCCCTATCTCCTTTTAGTTTTTTTTAGTTGTTTGTGTGTTCTTTAAATTTGTTGAATTCTTTGATCATATTTATGATTGTTCTTTTAACGTATGTGTCTGGGTTATCTCTAGGGGATTCTCATTTTATACTCTTCTATAGGATTGCTGGTGTTTGGTGGGAATGTATTATTTTGGTTTTCCATATTCTTGTTTTGTTTTGTTTTTGGCATGTGAATTTCTTTTTTATTTTTTTGCATATGATTCTGATATGAAACTCATGCCTTCCTTTCTTGAGTTGAAGTCTGAATGTGTTTGTATTAATGATATACCTTGGGTGTTTTCTCATTGAGTATGAATAGCTGGTTGGTCTAGGATTCAGGTTCCCTCTTCTGCTTTTATATTAGAGAAACCAGATGGCTCCATTCACTATATTCAGGGCCTTTTCTGGAGGGTGCAGTGGCCTTTGAAGCTTCATATGGATAGTGCCAAGATCCAAGGAAGAGGATGTGAGATGAATGTGCTGTTCCCAACTAGTCAGCAGGGAAGCCCAAGTCCTGGAGCAATGGGAGGGATTGCACATGACCCAAAGCAAGGCATTTGGCATGGCATGATTTAAAAAGCTCACCCTGGCCGGGCGTGGTGGCACATGCCTGTAGTCCCAGCACTTGGAAGGCAGAGGCATGCGGATCTCTGTGGGTTCAAGGCCAGCCTGGTCTACATAGTGAGTTCCAGGACAGCTGGGGCTACAGGGAGACCCTGCTTCAAACAAACAAACTAACAAACAAACCACCCTCAATCAAAAAAAAAAAAAAAAAAAAAAAAAAAAAAAAAGCTCACCCTGTAGAGATCAAGTCAGTGCTCTGGCAGACTCCAAAAACCATTGCTACATTTTTTGATGCCTGTGTATGATGCACGATTATGCATGCGTGCGTGCATGTGTGTGTGTGTGTGCGTGTGTGTGTGTGTGTGTGTGTGTGTGTGTGTGTATGCAATGGTGAACACATGGAGATCAAGGGATTGTCTTGGATGTTGGTTCTTACCTTTGAGTCATGGTATACTGCTTTGTATAACAGGTGAGTTGCCCAGTGAGTTTCTGAAATTCTCTTGTCTTGCCCTCCCATTTAGACATAGATGAACTAGGATTACATATATGTGCATGTATGCCTGTGCTGTGGTGTGCACATAGAGGTTGAAGGACAACTTTTGAGAATCATTTCTCTCCATTCATCTTTCAGAGGCAGAATTCTTCACTGAGCTTCCAGGTAAGTCTCCTGTGTCAGCCTCCTATCTCATTGTAAGAGCACAAGGATTACAGATGCATGCGATTGCAACTGGCTTTCAAAAGTTTTTAAAATATTTTATTTACTTATTTATAAAATTTTATTTTATGTGTATGAATGTACTGCCTGCATGCACGTAAATGCACTAAATGCACTTGAGTTGTGCAATGTCTGTGGAGGTCAGAAGAGGGTGTCATATCCTCTGGAACTGGAGTTACAAATGGTTTTTAGTTGTCCTGTGTGGTGCTAGGAACTGAACATGGGTCCTCTGAAAGAGCAGCCAATCCTTTTAACCACTGGGACATTCTTTTCTCCAGCCCATCAACTGGCTTTTTTAAAAATGTGCATTCTGGCGGCTATAATTCAGGTCATCAGACTCATGTGGCAAGAGTTTTCACTCACCAAGCTGTCTTGTCAGCCCATTTTAGGCTGACCTACAGGAAAAAGAAATAGTTTATTATAAGAGAAATAGGCACAAGCTCGGAGGTGTACCAGACCTGATCTGTGGCATAGCTCTAAGAAATAGAGACTTAAGGTTGTTTTTAAAGTCCATCTTGACCTGGCATTCTCTATGATCTACTGTCTGCTTTTTTTGGATTTTAGGAGATCCAAACTCCAGTCCTCAAGTTTGTGCAACAAGTGCTTTATCTACTAGGTCATCTCTTCAGCACTTATTGTTATTTTCATGTGTATTCTATACTGATGTATAACAATGTCAGCCATGAAACAATATGTTCTGTTTGCAGTAGCAGTCTAGTTCATCTCATGCTTATTATGTCTACCTGCCTCTCTCTCTGTGTTGGAGTGCTGGGGGTTGAATATAAGGTATTCTGCATGCTAGTCAAGCATTCTGCTACTGAGCTACACTCTTAGGATGACTATATCTCTCAACAGAATCAAGAGATGTATTTAGTTATTGATCTATGCTATCTAAGCTTATGTAAATATGCTTTGTGATGTTTCTGCAATGATGAAATCACAGACTTTCCTGTTCTGTGAGCACTTCTCTAGACATTCTTAGCAGGATACTTACTGGTTCTAAAAGTTGGAGCATGTTCTGGTTACCTTTTCTGAAGCTGTGATAAAATACTCTCACTAAAAGCAAATTGAGGGGGCAACGGTTGACTTCAGCTTACAGGTTACAGTCCATCAAGGGAAGTCATAGTAGGAACTCATAGCAGTAACTTGCAGCAGAAACCATGAAGTCACACTGCTTTCTGGCTCCTTCACTGACTGATGATTAAGCTGGCTTTTTGTGCTGTATATCTTTAATTGTCAACTTGACACACCTGGGTAGAAGGAACTTCAATTGTGTCCATTGGATTGGCCTGAAGACAAATCTGTGGGGTATTTTCTTGATTGTTGAATGATGTTGGAGCTCCCAGCTCATTGTGGATAGTACCATCCCTGGGCAGATAGTCCTGTATTTTAAAAGAAAGCAGGCTGAGCACTGCCAGGGGAGCAAACCCCCAAGCAGCACTCCTCCATGGCAGTGGATGGACTGTGACCTGGGAGATGTATGAGAAAGCATCTTAGTTTGCTTTCAATTGCTGTGATAAAAACACCCTGACTAATACAACTTGAAGTAGAAAGGGTTTATTTGGCTTACATTTTCCCAGTCCACAGAGGATAGTATCTTCCTTAGCCATGTGTCAAGATGAGAATAAAAAACTAGCAAATCCATCCATCTAGAAATTTCCACTTGGGTTTCTGTAATTTGGAATTAAAAGTGGCTACTTTTTTAGCTTATGCAATTCCAGACTTTAGAAAAAGACCATAGATCTTTAGATTCACTCTCCTAGAAGACCCCAATGTTCTGATGATCAAGAGGATGTGTTGATCTTTTGGTTGACGAGCTTCCTCAGTGCTCCCTTCAGGTCTTTGTTCCTCAGGCTATAAATAAAAGGGTTCAGCATGGGTGTGACTGCTGTGTACATTACTGAAGAAGCTTTCTCCTTCACAGCTGTGTGCACAGAAGAGGGACACAGATAGACCCCAATGGTGGTCCCATAGAAAAGTGCTACTACAGACAGGTGGGAGCTGCAGGTGGAAAAGGCTTTCTTCCTACCACCGGCAGAGGGGACCTTCATGATGGCTATAATGATTCGGGCATAGGAGGTCAGGATGCAGACAAAAGGTGTGGCTATCACCATCCCTGCCACAATAAGCACAAAGATGTTGTTCACTGATGTGTCTGTGCATGAAAGCCGAAGAAGAGGGGTGAGGTCACAGAAATAGTGGGGCACTTCATTGCTTCCACAGAATACTAAACGGGCCATTAGGAGGATATGGGTGAGGGAGATGAAGCAGGAATACACCCATGGGCCACCAACCAGTAATCTGCAGAGTCTTGGGCTCATGGTGGTAGTATAATGTAATGGGTGACAAATGGCCACGAAACGATCATAAGCCATCACAGCTATTAAGACACTGTCCATGATGCCAAAGAAATGGAAAAAGTACATCTGAGTCAGACAGCAAGGATAAGTGATGGACTTGCTCCTGGTTTGAATGTTCACCAGCATCTTGGGGACAGTATTGGTGGCCAGGAAGAAATCAACCAAGGAGAGGTTAGCCAAGAAGAAATACATAGGCGTGTGGAGGTAGGAGTCATAGCTGATGGCAAGAATGATCAATAAGTTCCCCAAAACCGTGATCACATACATGCAGAGGAACAGAGAGAAGAGGACAGTCTCATGCTCTGGCTTTTCTGAAAGCCCCAGAAGGATGAACTCAGATGTACTTGTTTGGTTCTGTGGCTCCATGTGTATAAGTTTTCTGAAAGTATAAAAGGGGGGAGTTTCACAGATAATATAAAGATAGTTGTGGAAGATAAGTTCACCTCCAAGTTCTTGTATAACTCCAACCTGAACCATTGCTAAAGTGTTTAGATTGCCTGGTCCTTCAAAGTATAAATTTAGAATCATTCCCTGAATGTTCCCATTTCATAGAAACTAAGAAAATATTCATCCACAGATTTCTCTTTTACATTGTTTTACTTTTTATTCATGTGTGTGTGTGTTTGTGTGTGTGTGTGTGTGTGTGTGTGAGTGTGTTTAGTGTGTATGGTGTATGCAGATGTGTGGTGTGCACACTCATGTGGAAGGCAGGGGAGGATACTGAATGTTGTCCTGGCTAGTTTTTGTCAACTTGACACAAATTATAGACATCCAGAAAGAGGGAACCTCAATTAGGAATTTCCTCTATCAGATGAACCTGTTGGCATACAAGTGCAGTTTTTCTTGTTTGGTAATTGATGTAGGAGGGCCAAAACCCATCATGGCAATGTCATCCTTAGGCAGATGGGCCAGGGATGTACAAGAAAGATAGCTGAGCAAGACTGGAAGCAAGCGAGTAAGCAGCATTCCTCTTTGGTTTGTGCTTCACGCTCCTGCCTTGAGCTCCTGCCTTGGATTCCCTCAGTAGACTGTAACCTGTAAGTTAAATAAAATAAAACTATTTCTTCCCCCAAGTTGCTTTTGGTCAGTGTTTTATCACAGAAACATAAACCAAATTAGAATAGGTGCTTTCCACTCTTGCTTATTGTTACTGGTTACTTTTAAGATAAAGTCTCTCACTGACCCTGAAGCTGTTTCAGAAAGTCTGGCTGGCCAGTGAGCTCCCTGGATCCTCTTATCTCTGCTCCCAAACACTAGGGTTATAGGCATGTGTGGCCATGCCCAGCTTTTATATGGGTGCTGAGGATTTGAATTCAGGTCCTCTTACTTTTACAGCAAGTGCTCTTACCTGCTTAGCTGTCTTCCCAGCCCCTATTCTTGCAGAAAGAACTACTGAAGGATGTACTTGGGCATGAATAAATGGAATCCAGAAAGAATATGAATGAATGGTCAGCTAAGAAGTTTCTATGTAGGTAGAAATACTATAAACAAAAATTGAGTTGAAAATACTCACCAGTATTAATTAGAAAGTGAATGCAAAGAAATTCTGCTAAAATATGAGGCAACCAAAGAATATTCTAAATACCATTAGCCACCAGGGAAATGTAAATTGAAACTGCAATGTAGTAACATCTCATCCTTGTTATGTGGTCAAAGTACATGATACAGTGGAATGATTATTCTGGAACTTGTCATTTTGTTAATAAGCATTCACTGATAAAAATTTAAAACATACAGGGCAATGAGATGGCTCAGTAGGTAAAGGCACTTACCACCATGACTGATCATTTCATTTATACCTCTTCCTTCAACTATCAAAGTATCATCTACTTTCACCTGAAATTTACTGTATTTAGCAGACATGCAGTAGTTCAGAAATTCTATCTGACCTCTAAAGAAAAGATACAAAAGGCTCAGCAGGTAAAGGCACTTACCTACACACCTTACTAGCTGAGTTTGATCCCCAGGTCCCACATGGTGGAAAAGGAAGGCTAAGTCCTATAAATTGTCCTCTGACCTCCACATATGCACAATGGTGCACATGCCCCAAATAAATAAAATGAAATAAAAAATTAAAAAACTAAACAAAGAAATAATCCCCCTTCCCAAACCTTTCTGAGCAACATGTATGGAAGGAATGTACCTACCATCCAAAATAGGTGATAATCTTACATTTACAACTCCACAAAACTCCCAAGACCTTTTTTTTTCCTCTTTCAAAAATGGTGAATCTTTAAGCAAGCATGGTGGCACATGCTTTTGATCCTGGTGCTTTGTTGACAGAGACAGGTTGATCTCTGTGAGATCAAGACCAGCATGGGTTACATAGAGATTTCCAGGCTACAGGGAGCTAAGGCTACAGGGAGTCCCTGTCTCAAAAGAACAACAACAACACACCAAAACAAAAATGGTGAACATTTGAGATGGAATGACTACCTATTTTTCTTCAGTTCTGGATTTGAAACCAACAACCATCACCATTACAACCACCAGTTTACCACCATTACCACCACCAGCAACAGCAATCTTTATAACAGAGAACAGAGAAATGGAGGCAGCCAGAGACTAAATAACTTTTCCCCAGGAAAAAACTCTATAACCTGTCTCAAAGTTAAATCTATATATCTTCTGGCTTTTGTGCTATGTTTTTCTATAAATTGTGGAAACTGAGTTGGGAGCTAGCTCAGTTGATAAAATACCTGTTGCCTGAACATGATGTTGCATGCCCGGTACCCACACAAAAAACTTGCCATGTAGGTAGAGCATAGTGGTGCATGCCTTTAATCCCAATACTTTGAAATAGAGGTAGGTGAATCTCTGAGTTCCAGGCCAGTCACAGTTACATAGTGAGACCTTGTCTAAAAAGAAAAAAAACCCAAAAAACATAATAAAAAAACAGACAAAAAAATAAAAACAATTTATCAAACAAAAAACTTGCAGACAGTGATTATGTATACCCCAGTGCTTGAGGCCACTGAGTAGCCAGCCTTGCTGAATCAATGAGCTCCAGGTTTGAGAGACCCTGTCAAAAAAGAAAAAAAAAACAGAGAAAAAAATGTAGAGGGGGTTCAAAGGAAGAAACCCTACCTCTATATGCATGTTACACACACACACACACACACACACACACACACACACACACAAATTAACAATAGAAAAAAATGTGAAACTGCCACAGACAGGAATTAGGGAGAGGAATTTAGAAATCATTTCCCTCTTAGTTGGGTCAAAGTGTTAAATCCAATTCTCTTTACTAATTTCAGTTTGTTATTTTATTAAAATATAGGGTAGCTAAGGTGACAAGTAAATACCTAAGTGCCCAGTTACATAGTCACCTTAAATCAAAGCATCCATTAGTTCTGGTTTTAAAATTTTTTACACCGTACTTATGCATCTATTCTCTTTTCTCTGACCCACCCTGAAAATCTTTTTAATTTATTCTTCTTACCACATCATCTTTTGTGTTCATTTTCATTTACTTACATCAGGAACAATTAGTAGTGATTACCATATATCAAGATTTGGGCTTAGTGCTTGGAATGATAACATGAAAATACACAGACCTTGTGCTCAAGACAATCAAAATCAGGGTTATTTGTATCTTTTAACTTCTTTGGTCTGTATACTGTCTGGATAATGAAGATGTCACAAGAATATGAAGGCTCATTAAGGGAAAACAATTTCCTTTTGGTCAAGAGAATAAAATCTCTGGTCTTGCTGGAGACCCAACACTCCCATTGGGTAGGTAAATGAACTGTCTAAGGGAACTCCCCTCAGGAAGGCAGGTTCACCTTAGGAAGAGAGGTTCACCTTAGGAAAGCATGTTCACCTTAAGATACGCTGAAGAGATAGGAGGAATAGTTAGCTATATAATGCCATCATGTACTTTTCATTCCCAGGACAGTCATTACTCAGAAAGGAAGACTGACCCAACAGAATATCATGGAGGCTAGTAGGGACTGCACTAGGAAAGGTGTAACTTGTCCTTTCTCTACTCTTCTGTCTTTTTCTTTGAGATGTTTTCTATAGCTCAAGTATGCTTTCTCTGACACTTTGGGCCTTTTCCATGCTTTCCCTAAATTTTCTCTTCCCAATGGGTTCACATGCCATGTGTCTGACTTTCACATGTCTGACCTCCACCTGCCTGACCTCCATGTTGGCCTAACTCAAACAATACGTTTTTTCCCTAATTTTTTCCTCCGTCTTTCTCCCTCTGGAAGCTGCTCAGCATTTACAGCTTGCCTGCCCTGATGTTTTGTTTTTTTTTAACTGTAATAAAATAATGCTCAAGTTCCCCCTTGGGTCCATTCGATAAATTCTTTTATTAACAAGACTAAGAGTCACAAGAGGGGAGTCTCAATTTCCACAGCAACATGTGACAACTGTGGTGGGCCTCCCCAACATCTCTGACAACAAAAGCATAAACATAGTCCTTCAATTCATTCTTAAAAATGATTCTCATCTTTAACTGAATGTTTGCTATAATAACAAGCACCAAGTGTGATTTTTGCTGTTGTTTATTTGTAGTAGAAACTGAACTGAGGATTTTGCATATGCTAGAAAACTGCTTTACTACTCAGTTACAAATCTAGTGCAGTCTTTAAAATTTTTACTTTGAGGTAAGATCTCATTAAATTGCCCAGACTTGTCTTGAATTCATTGTGTAGGTCAGGTTAGCCTTGACCTTCCAGTACTCTCTCTCTCTCTCTCTCTCTCTCTCTCTCTCTCTCTCTCTCTCTCTCAACTTCCTGCTTAGATGGCATAACAAGCATGTACCAGGATCACCAAGTTTACTCCTAATTTGCCACTCACAACAAATCAAAGAGATGAGTATTAAGGAATGGGAGCACAATGAGATTTAGTGTTTCACACAGAGTGAGGAGAAAAATTAATCCAAGCAATCTCAACCTAGACTGTGATTTGATCATCTATATTTTGTTAATCATAAGTCAATTGATAAATTCATGATTTAGTGGGGGAAGTGAACCCTAAGACATTTCTCAAATTATGGGGGATGCTCTTAATGTTTACTGCTGGATGTGGACTCTAGGATCCAAACTCAGGTCCTCATGCAGGTGCTCTTAACAACTGAGCCATCTCTCCAGGTCCCATGGTTTTAATAAGGACTCACTTGGAGAATTATGAACTCATTCAAGAAACATTGCCGAGTGGGGCAGGGAGTTTTGGAAAATTTAGTACCTGCGTATTACCAATGAGTTGGTCAGAAATGTCCACTAAACAAAGTTTAAATGTTTGCTTTAATGTAAAAAACTTTGGGCCTGTAGGGCTTAGCAGCTTTTGCTATATAAGCATGACAACTTGATATCAATCCCTGGAATCCATGTTACAAAAAACAAACAAAGAGAAACAGTGGCTCACATCTATAATCCCAGCACTTCTACAGGGAAATGGCATACAGAGAC